CTTGTGTCCACGTGGGGGCGGCCATCTTGTGTGTTGGAGTGACGGTCAGTTTGCATATTACTCTTATTAGATAGGATTGTCAAGAGATACGTATTTATTAACATTTTGCTGTTTATATTTTTATGTGTTTTTTTTTAATCCTCATCTGAGGACATGCTGGCTCTGGAGCCACCTGGCACAAGCTACAGAGCAATCTACAGATTGCTGGGCTTGGAAATACCCAGGAAAGGTCAGATTGCCAACTAAGACTGGGGCTGCTGGTAGCTAGAGGTATGGGGTTCACCAGGCCAGATGCTGTTTGTTTGAGAGATATTTAGGAAAGTCTAAAGCATGAGGCAAGAGAGGCCATTTGGGTGGAAAAGCCACTGGAATGTGCTTGGGGTGGGCCCACAAGTTGTGTCTCAGAAAAGGAACAATGGGCCTTTGCCAGCACTTCTGTCTTAGAGAAAGCTGCCCCTGACCCACCTCCAGCTCTTGCCCTGAGGTTGCAGAATTCATTTCCTCTCTGTATGTCTCTAGTGCCTTTCAAGCTGCTGCCCCAGCGCTGGAGCTCGGAGTGAGTGAGTCTGAGTAAGTCTGTGAGCAGGCCCTTTAAGAGGAACTATCTGGGACTCCAGCAGCCATGTCTTCCCTCAGCTTAATGCCACTGGTTTTTACAGCCTGAAGTTATAGGGCCTTCTCTTTCTGGCCCTGGAACCCTGGGCTGGGCGGCCTGGTGGGAGGCTGGGAACCCTCACTCCTCAGAGGGATCCTCCACAGCCGAGATACCCATCCAATGTTTATCTAATGTGAGTGTGGGACCTGCCTGTTCTACATCTCTGCCCCTCCTACCAGTCCCATTGTAGTTTCTTTAATTTCATAGTTGTAGGATTTCCAATCAGCTAGATTTCATGTGGCTCTGAATGATGGCTCTGTAGTTTAGTTATAATTTTGATGTGGTTGTGGCAGGAGGTGAGTACCGTGTTCACCTTCGCTGTCATCTTGACCTGCAGTCTTCATTCTGTTTCTCTTTGCAGTTTAGGATTTTGGGGACAGCATCAGTCTGGGTGGTGCATGTGGAGGGCCAGGGAGATAGATGCCTTTGAGAGAAGTCTTTACATTACTCTCAACTTCTATTTCCAACAGGCCATAGTGGATAGCAGCAGCTTTATGTTGCTAACGCCAGATGAGCTCTGTCATGGTTCATAGGTGGATAGAGGCAGTCTTGACCAAACTCCTCATTTTATAGCTGAACTTGAGAGAAGGGAATTGCTCTGAGCCATTGGGTAGATATAATAGTTCCTGACTGAGACCTGGGCTTCTCTTGCTCTCAGCCCTGGGCTCTGCCTTCCTTTCTGTGATGCTGCGGACCTGTGTGCCTGACTCCTGTGGAGAAAACTAGCCCCTGCTCCAGGAGGGTGTGTGGGCTCCCTTACTGGATGCAGCCCTGACCCTGGCCCATCTGTGGTTAGATGGAGCTCAGCTTTCAAAGCAGCCCAAGGGTCTGTGCAGCCTCTGCTGCCTCCTGCTGCTGAGGCCAAGTATGTGTGGTTTTTTTAAGACAAGAGTGAAACACTTAAGATTTGACAAATGAAAGCAACAGAGGGGAAATTAGTAAAGGCTCCTTTTAACTATTTTTCAGAATTTTCAGGGGGAAGTCTATCCTTGAGCATGAAGCTTGCTTCATAGATTTTTTGTTTGTTTGTTTTTTGTTTGTTTGTTTTCCATCATCATGGTAATTCTGCATAAATGGTTGTAAGATTTGCCATTGTTGTTGGATTCTGGATTCTCGGGTGTTTTATTGCTTTAAACCTCAGTGGCTTAGGATAGAAATGGCATTTAAAAAACAAAACGAAAACCTATTCTTCTAGCTTACAGCTAAAGGTTTTTAAAAAATAGTAATCTAGAATGAAAAGAAACTGCAGAATCAGATTTTGTAACTTTATTACTACAGAGAATATCAAGTAGAGCCCATTCATATTAGCTATGGGAGACTTGAGACTGGAGAAGTTTAAGAAATGACTTAGTCAAGTTATAGTTATATAGTCCATAATTCAAGTCTTCTGGCTTAGTTCAGCTATGTCACTTTATTTTGAGCTTCCTGTAAACTAGACCTTGTTTTTATGATTTCCACAGATTATTTCTAATTCTCACCAAATTGCTAATAGATATATTCCTCCCTTTTACAGATATGAAAATGGAAGCTCAGATAGTTTCATCTCTTAACCTTTTTCTTTCCTTTAAATGACTTACATAATCTTAATTAACTTACTTAATTTGTTCCAATGGTGAAGTCTTACTTATTTTCATAGTCAGATGTTACAAACTATGTTTCTTAATGAAAGTTAACCCAGTTGTGTGCAATAGCAACATTTAAAAAATCTGGACTCTTAAATTCTTGCTGAGAACACTTTGCTCATCTGGATAGCCTCATTGTCATGGGGAACTCATATGAACATATTTGGATAGTGAATCTCATGAACTTGTACCTACCGTGTTTCCCCGAAAATAAGACATCTTCCGAAAATAAGACCTAATGCATGGAAAGATAAGACATCCCCTGAAAATAAGACCTAGCGCCACTTTGGGAGAAAAAATTAATATAAGACACTGTCTTATTTTCGGGGAAACAGGGTAGGGTGTAGCTTCCCACGGGGTGAAACAACCTGAGAATGTGAGTGACCTAAGGTAGAAAGATAAAAGCTATTTGAGGATGAGAAAGTGGTGAAAAGATCTTTTAGGATAAGTGTTGACATTTACTGGTACTATTACTAGGAACGCGTCCACATACTAAATTGTGTTTACTGTGCCCATGATTCAACTTGGTTTCTTCTTGGCCAATCCCTCTCTCCCCAGGCGTGAAGCCGTAAGCTCCCTGATAACATGAGGCCTGTGTAAGCGCGTGAAGCCAGGGGACTTTGTTTATTGCTGTGTATCAAACACGTAGTCTAGTGTGTGGCTACAAAAGAGGGGATAAAATTAGATGAGGGATTTTCATCCTGTTTGAGAGACAGGTCTTTCTCTTTTCTCTTTTTGAAATCTCTGGACCCTCACTTCCTGATGCTGTGTTGTCTGCTAAGGTTGTTTAACCAGATACTCAAGGTAGACAGAGTGTTGGTTTTTGCTGTGAACTTTCCAGAGTTGGGTGATATTATATATCTTCTGCTTATCTTTTCCCTCACTCGTCTATTGTGGACAAGACCCCTAAGTGATTTAAAATGGTTTAATGATGTTTTTTAAATGTTAATATTTATTGAGCATATTGAATTTCTAATTTATCGGAACACGATTTGTATTTTAAAAATAATTGCTTATGGAAATAATTGAAAAAATTTCTCTCCAAGTTGGTTCCATTGTGTAATGGTTAGCACTCTGGACTCTGAAAAAATTCCTCTCCAGTAGAAGTAAGTCCAGAAAAACTTTGACCTCCTTTCCTGCAGTATTAAAAATATATGCATATCATTAGTCATCAGTGCGGTATACCCTTCCTATCCACTACAGTAACTGAAATGAAAAAGACAGAGAAAGTGCTAGCCATGAGGAAGACATCAGAACCCTCACACGTGGCCACTGGGAATGGAAAGTGGTGTAGCCACTATATGAAACAGTTTGGCAGTTTATCAAAGGGCTGAACATAGAGTTACCGTAAGATCCAACAGTTGCACTCCTAGATATATACCCAAGAAAAATAAAAGAATTTGCCCACACAGAAACTTGTACGTGAATGTTCATGACAGTTTTATTTATAGCAGTCCAAAAGTGGAAAAGCCCCAAATGTCCATCGAATGAATGGCTAGACAAAATGTGGTATATCCAGTGGAACCTTGTTTAACAATGAAAAGGAAAGATGAAGCATTGATACATGCTGTATATGGATGAACCACTTACAAAAGACCACTATGTATGTTTCACTTATATATAAAACTAGAGGCCTGGTGTACAAACTTTGTGTTGGGGGTGAGGATAGAGAGGGGAGGTGTCCCTCAGCCCAGCCTGCACCCTCTCCAATCTGGGAACCCTTGGGGGATGTCCGGATGCAAGATGGCAGTTGGACGTCACTCTCATAATCCAGGACTGCTGCCTCCTGACTGCTCGCCTGGCTGCCAGCCTGATCGCCCCCAAATGCTCTCCCCTGCTGGCCTGTTCACCCACAACTACCTTCTCCTGCTGCCCATCTTGTGGCGGCCAACTTTGACCACATGGGAGTGGCCATCTTGTGCGAGGGCATGAGGGTCAATTTGCATTTTACCTCTAATTATAGAGGATGTCCAGATTAAGATAGAAAGTAACTTAGTGGTTGATTAAGGCTGGAGGATTGTGGAGAGGATGGAGAATGACTACCAATGAGTATAGTGTTTCTTTTTGGGTAATGAAAGTGCTCTAAATTAGATAGTGGCTATGGCTGCACATCTAAATACCATTGAGTTATACACTTTTAAGGGTGAATTGTTTGGTATCTAAATTACATTTCTATAAAGTTATTATAAAAGTATGTAAAGCCCTGGTTGGTGTGGCTCCCAGGCACCGAAAGGCCAGTTCGATTCCTAATCTGGGCACATGCCTGGCTTTTGGGCTTGATCCCTGGTGGGGAGCATGCAGCAGGCAACCAATTGATGTCTCGCTCTCACATTAATGTTTCTCTCTTTCTCCCTCTTCCTTTCTCTCTAAAAATCAGTAAGACTTTTAAAAAAAACAAACACGTAAATATAGATGTGTATATAGACGTATTTGTTTCCATGAGCATAAATTATCCCCAGAATGATACACTTTGGTTGCTGGTGGGAAGAGCTGGGTGGGAGGAGATTTTTAGTAAATATCCTTTTTTGTCTTGTGATAATATTACCTATTTTACAAGTAAATGTTGACTAATAAAGGTATAAGTAACTTATCTCCTCTCTTAATTTTGTTGTAATCAGGTACTTCAGGGGTTAGATTATCTACACAGTAAATGCAAGATCATTCATACTGACATAAAGCCAGAAAACATCTTGATGTGTGTGGATGATGCGTACGTGCGAAGAATGGCAGCCGAGGCCACGGAGTGGCAGAAAGCGGGTGCTCCTCCTCCTTCAGGGTCTGCAGGTGAGGGTCCCAGCCAGCTTCGTCTCAGTCAGTCCGCGGACATCGAGAGCCTGCATAGCTGCACACTGAAGGCAGCTGTGTACATGTTAGGATCTTTCTTAAGAATCTGATGGAGAGAAATAACTAGACCTTTTTTCTTCAGAAGGAAGATGCTTCAAATTACACTTTCACATTTGAATTCTTAACTTTGTTCTCCCTTAAAAGGTCATTTCAGTTCTTACCTTTGCACATTTCCTTCTGTTGCCCAGTTCTCAGCAGAAGAATATATAGGAGCAGGTCTTACGTAGCCATTATGTAGTCATCAGAGTTTTTTCTAGCTTCAGGCTTGTCAGCATGCCTCCTAGTCTCCAGTTAGCATAGTTACATCAGTCAGTGTCTACCTAGTGGATTTGGAATCAGTTACAGACCCCAGGGACGGAGGGAAAGACCCAAGTGACTTGAGAATTGGCATGTCAAGTTTAATTTCTATTTTTCCCTGACTATAAAGGTGGCAGTGAGGGGTTGACAGTGTGTGTGCTTCATGCAGTCAGGCAGGCAAGCGGACTCAGGGCTGATCCCTGTGACTCACAGGGGCTCTTGGGAGATGCAGCGCCTCTGAATCTTATTTTCTACCATCGGTATTTTTCTATATCATGAAGCCATTTTATTTTTGCCTCTGTTTTTATTATTATTATTATTATTATTATTATTGTTTAAAGTATTAGATAAGTAGTACATATATCTCATTTTTTGCCCCATTGACCTTCCCCCAGCCTCCCCTACCATCTGTCGCATTCCCTCATCCCACCCACCCCCAGTGTCTTGTGCCCATTGGTTGTGCTTATATGCATGCATACAAGTCCTTTGGTTGATCTCTTTCCCCCCTCCCTAACACTCCCCTGCTTTCCCGCTGTAATTTGACAGTCTGATGCTTTACTGCCTCTGTGTCTATCTTTTTGTTCATCAGGTTATAATGTTCTTTATTTTCCATAAATGAGTGGGATCATGTAGTATTTTTCTTTCATTGCCTGGCTTATTTCACTTAGCATAATGCTTTCCAGTTCCATCCATGCTGCTGCAAATGGTAAAAGTTCCTTCTTTTTTATAGCAGCGTAGTATTCCATTGTGTAGATGTACCACAGTTTTCTAATCCTCTCATCTGCAGTTGGGCATTTAGGCTGTTTCCAAATCTTAGCTTAGCTATGGTGAATTGTGCTGTTATGAACATAGGAGATTGGTGCTATCATGGAGCCTTTTAGTCTGTCAAGCTTTTGAGGCTGGCAAGGTCTGATCATTTGATTTTTAGAATATTTGCTGCAATATTTACTTACTTTAGTGGTACAACTTGCTAATAATTTTCATACATAAATGTACATCTCATCTAAATTGTCTCATTGTTTACAAAACAAGTTGGTTCAATGACTTCCTTTGTGAACTTTTCTCCATTCTTAAGTTATTAGTGCTTTTGGATGGACTATTTCTGAAATGAATGGTTATTTCATTTCATTGTATTTATTACTTTTTAAGTGGCTATTTGACTTTAGATAAGAGAAATGGTTCCATATTGAATAGCTATTGCTATGATTTTAAAGAACCAATCATTCATTTGAGTTTGGTAAACATTCTTTAGATCTCTTTGATACAGAAGCTCTAGTATTTAAGTTGTTGAAGTTGGATAGCAATTAAAAGGCAGTAATTATCTTATTTTACAATTCAAATAAGGATATGTATCAATTTCCGTCTAAACAGTCATTTTTGTTTTGTTTTGTTTTAGTGAGTACGGCTCCACAGCAAAAACCTGTAAGTACTATTTTTAAAAGCAACTGCTCATTACTAACTTTCCACAGCGTAACAGTAGTTTGTTTCTTTCTGCAACAATTTTTCTTGTAGAGGTTGGTGCAGGGAATTTGGTGATATATTGCTTTGGTTCCTTTCTCAATCATAGATGTGCTAATATATAGTCATGTAATACACAGGTGTGTTTATAAATGCTGTGTATCCTTGCATATATAAGACTTAAACTGTTTTGGTAAGCTGAACTGAATTTTAGACTTAGAAATAGAGCGGTTCCAAGTTTGATCTTCATTTTCCTCTCGTGCTTTCTGGAGTGCTGTTGCCAAGCTTAGTGAAATGTGAGGTGATAGAAATAGAGTTTGGAGTGGGATTATTCTGAAAACACTTTTCCTTATTTCTTGTTGGCTTTCAAGTTACCTGTTTTTCTAATGCAGCTCTAAATTTTTTTCCCTAGCTAGTGGTTAAATATGAGAGTGGTTATCTTTTTTTGTGGTCCTGTGAAAACACTATGTTCAGTCAAATGAAGCAGGCTGCCTGGAAATGAACCCTGCCCAGCAGCCTGACCCCAGCTGGGTCCAGGGGACGATTGAATATCTCTCATCACCTATAGAGTTTAGAGGAATCCCAACTGCCACAGCCCTCAGCTGGGAATGGCAGTCCCAGTGGAAGAGGAGTGGTGTTAATTACACCCCCTGACCTGCCAGGCGAGAGCCATGCTGCTCCCACAGCTCCCCACAGCTCCCCACGGCTCCCCACGGCTGGAGCAGCTTGCTTTGGTCTGTGAAAACTGGAGGCTCTCATGGCTGGTAGTTTCCAAGTTAGATGCCTATCATTGGAGGCATTTTCTCTCTCTTCCTCTACTTCATGGGATCACCTCCTGTATTCATGCAGCCTTGGTGTTGATAACAGCTCAGTGTGTGAGACCCAAACACAAACAGAGCTGTTGACCACCTGTGAATGAAACACCTGTTTGGCAGGCCTGTCTTTTTTGGCAGGCAAGGTGGTGAGGCAGCAGGGAGAGGGGACTTTCGTTACTTTGTATACTGGCAGCAGCACCTAAAACTAGCAAGAGGTGCTGCTTGTTATCTCAGCATATTCAGTACTTCTCAGAGTTTGAATGGAAAAGACTTAATTGGACTTAAACTATATCCTCTGAGGGTCGGACCCATTATTTGATATTACATTGGTTCCTTTTTTCCTGGTCTGACTGTAACCCTAGCCACCAGGTGGATCTCATGTCTGGGCATGTGATTTTAATTGAATACGATCTGAAAAACAACAACAGACTTTGTTGGTATTTGCTATACTGCCAGCATTTATACTATTGCATAGTGCTTTCAAAAGAAGCAAACTGACCTGTGGTATTTTCTTACCGTGCTGTAGATAGGAAAAATTTCCAAAAACAAAAAGAAAAAACTGAAAAAGAAGCAGAAAAGGCAGGCTGAGTTACTGGAAAAGCGCCTGCAGGAAATAGAAGAATTGGAGCGCGAAGCCGAAAGGAAAATAATAGAGGAAAATGTCACATCAGCTGTACCTTCTAATGAGCAAGATGATGAATACCGCCCAGAGGTGAAGCTAAAAGCAGCAGCGCTAGAGGAGGCCGCAGAGGAAGAGCCTGCACTGGACAACGGTCAGTCGCCCGAAAGAAGGGGCTTCGCTAAGAGGGACCCTCCCCGGGCCACCAGAGGGGGCCGTGCTGCTGCAGATGTGCGGAGGTTCTCTCTAACTCCTTACTCAGGAAGATGGGGAACTGTCTGCTAGTTCATTTGTAAAATGGATGCCAGAAAACATTGATATTTTCACAAGTTTTTTTTTTTAAAAACATGGGAAATATTTGAGAAACTCCATGTCTCTGTCATGCTGATGATTGTCTTTTATTTTGTAATTAACCTTTTACCTAATAGAACTATATCTGCAAACCTTCCCTGAGGGTTCCACAGGAGACCGTAGAAATGGAAATGAAACTATTAGATCATTTTCCCCCAGGAGCTAACTCTTTCTAATAAGAGAAGACCAGTTACTTAATAAATGCAAGTTAAGATTTGGGAAACCTGGGGATATTACCCTGAGAGCCATGCGCTGTTTGCTATCTAGCGCACACGTTAAGCACATTGAGAGTTCTCTTTCTTTTTTTTTTTTTAAAATATATTTTATTGATTTTGTACAGAGAGGAAGGGAGACAGATACAGAGTCAGAAACCTCGATGAGAGAGAATCATTGATCAGCTGCCTCTTGCACACCCCCCACCGGGGATATGCCCGCAACCAAGGTACATGCCCTTGACCGGAATCGAACCTGGGACCCTTTAGTCCCCAAGCCGACGCTCTATCCATTGAGCCAAACTGGTCCCGGCGAGAGTTCTCTCTTGTTGGAGGAGGTTAGTACTTAGTGTGGTAAGGAGGTTAATGAGTTCTAATTCTCCACTCATCATCCTTTTAAGGAGAAGCTGAGGACCAGGAAGAGAAAGAAGATGCTGAGAAAGAAAACATCGAGAAGGATGAAGATGATGGAGAACAGGAGCTCGAGAACCTAGACCCCACGTGGATAGACTTACCCAAAACCAACGGCCACGTTGAGAACGGCCCGTTCCCCCTGGAGCAGCAGCTGGATGACGAAGACGACGATGACGAAGATTGCCCAAACCCCGAGGAGTATAACCTGGACGAGCCCAACGCAGAGAGTGATTACACGTACAGCAGCTCCTACGAACAATTCAACGGTGAATTGCCAAATGGACGACATAAAATTCCCGAGTCCCAGTTTCCAGAGTTTCCCACGTCATTGTCCCCTGGGCCCCTGGAACCTGTGGCTTGTGGCTCTGCACTTTCCGACGGATCCCCGCTCACCGAGCCCGAGGAGAGCAGCCCGTCTCACGACAGAAGCAGGACGGTCTCGGCCTCCAGCACTGGGGATTTGCCAAAAAGTAAGTGTCCCTCCCCGTCAGGTGCCTGCCTCCGCGGACGGAGTCACACCGACCAAGGAGGGGACTGGCTGGAGGGGGAAGCCCGGGTCTGTGCGCCACAACCGCTTCCACTCTGTCTGTGTACTCGCGAGTAATTAACGTCGCATAAAGTATATTCTGTGCCGCTTTCTCTTGCTCTCTACGTCTCAGATCCATTTCTGAGCTTGTCTCCTCCTCTCTATATTTAATGACATCATCTAAGACCCTTCCAAGTTTAAGAACTGATAGCTGTAGCTTTCTAGAATGTGTAGTTTAATTTATATAATATTTGTGCTTCCATCTGTAAGATTTAGTTTTTGGTTTGGTTTGTTTCTATTCAAAGAGGAAGGCGCCTGTTGTTTGTCTGATTGAGAAGGGCTTTCTTTCCTTTGATACTTGTTCCTGATTAGAGGACTTGGCTGTGGCCATTTTAAAGGCAGTGGCAAGGGTTTAAATGTGATGACGACTTAAGTCAAACCTTACTCGGGAGTGAATGCCACGTGACACATCTCTGCCGTGACCTGCCAAGGGATTTCAGTAAGCAAACCCTGGGCACCATGGCTAGTTTCCATTCTGGCCTCACAAACCTCTGCTCCCTCTGCTGACAAGTGTTCACACCCACACAGTCTGCGGGGGAGCCAGCCTGCAGGTAGCCCCGCCAGCTCGGCAGCCCTTCCGCTGCAGCCGGGAGGAGGGCCTGAAGAGCCGCCTTGCCAAACACATTCTGCCCTGTTTAGCTTTACTCTGAGCAGAATTTTTAAAGGTGCTTTCAAGACCCTTCACCTGGGATGTAGGTTCATCTAAGGAAGAGCTGATCTCTGCGTGTCTTACTCACTCTCAGGCTCCTTCCACTCTGCCGTGACTGCTGGGCACCAGTGTAGCATAGCCTCGCCCCCTTTTTTAAAGACACAATAACAAGCGCCTGTGTGCACAGGCATGTTCATGCCTGCTTCTGTCCCTTTGCTTGTGCTTCCCGCTGGCCTGGAATGTTTCCTCTGTTTATCCGTTGTCCGTGGCTTTTGGCAAACTTCCGTTGTTTGGTCAGGTAGCAGCTCAAACACAAGTCCTGTGTTTCCCGCCAGCCTTATCCCTTTCCTCTCTTTCCCTACGGGTCAACCTCTCTTACGTGCAAGGGCACTGTTCTCTCCATTATCTTTCTCTTCTCTAGGACGTAAAATCTCTCTGAAAGTGCTATGTATCTTTTTCCTTATATCCTCAGCATCTAACTTGATGCTAAGATAAACATTTGTTGAGTAATGAACAAACAAATCAGGGATATTTGGTTACATTCTTCTACTCTTTCCTTTCTCCTACTTTTTTCCATTCACAATCAGAATTTCACTCTGTCCAACATGCATTCTGTTCCCAGAACCCTGTCTGTTGCCTGAGACGGGGAGAAGTAGGAGGTCTGTGTTTTTCCCCTCGTTGATCTTTTAGAGAGAGTGGAAGAGAGGGAAACACATCGAGTGGTTGCTTCCTGCAACCAGGGCCCAAGCTAGGGAAGAACGAGCAACCAAGGTACGCACTCTTGACCAGAATCGAACCGGGGACCCTTCAGTCTGCAGGCTGTATCCACTGAGCCAAACCGACCGGTGAGGGCGAAGTTGTTCTTTTTTGAGCCCAGTCTCTTTTTATCAAACAGACCTTTTGTCAAATTCTAGGGACATAGCAGGGACAGGATCTCCTCATCCAGTCATGTGATGGGAGGTACTCTGTTTTGGTTTTTAGCTTGGTTGTTCATAACCATGGACCTGCACCCTTCCCCCCCTCCTCCCATGGGAGGTGTTTCCTGCAAGAAAGGGGTGTGATCTAGAGGCTGAGGGGTGCCACTTAGTACTGCATGAATAGGAGGCAAGAGAAACAAGCTTTATTTAGAGTTTAGGTCCTTTTTATTACAGCAGAGCGTAGTTGAAGAAGAACCAGGCCAGGGTGGGAAGTCCGAGGGAAGACGTACATACCAGCTGAGGAATCGGACTTCCTCCTGGGAGGTTGAGGAGAGGAGGCAGGATTCCTCTTGGGTTGTTCGCTGCTAGATCCATAGACTAGACCCTGGCTCATCATGGCCGAGGGGCAGGGACCTGGGGCAGATGGTTGTGTCGGCTTTCCCTAGAAATTCATTGGTATATTTTGGATCCCTCCTCTCACCAATAGTGACTGTGCCCTGCCTAGTCTGCTGTAACTAACACAGGCTCCCTCCCTGCCATCTCACTTTGCTCTCGCTCCCTAGCCCTTCTCTGGAGAGCAGTCCAAGGAGAGAGCTTGTTAAAGCTCATCCCTCCAGTGAGCATGCCCCAGAGGTACAGCTCCGTACAGCTCCTTGCCGGCTGCTCCTTGGCTGCTCCCTCCCTGTCATTTCCCAGCATCTCCTGGGCCTACTTCCTGTGCTCATTCTGCACCTCCCACACCAGCTTTGTTCTCAAGTTCCTCAGAAGTACCAGCGGGTTTGTTGGTGCCCCTTTGCACTCCACCACCCTTGCCTACAGCTTCTCCCTTCCCTCCTTTCCTCAGGCCTCTCCCATCTCAGGAAAGACCGCCCCTGAACACCCTCCATTATCTAGCTCCTGTCTTTGCTTTGCTTTTCTTCACATTATATAGAGCCACCTGACATGGTGTGTGACTCATTCTGTTTACTTTATTACATGAGTTACCTAATGTGGGGTGTGGTGGGTCATTTTTCTTGTTCATGCTGTTTCTTATGCCAAGACAGCACCTGGAACAGATAATGGGTCAGGTTTGGGCACTAAATCTCCTAGTTTTGCTCCATGCATTTGGAACTGAATCTGCATATCAAGAGGACATTCATACTTCCCATGTATAGATATTTTAAATTAAAGTATCATTGTGGTTTTTTCTAGTGGTTAGAGCATCGGCCCATGGACTGAAGGATCTCAGGTTCAATTCCCGGATTTCCAGTCAAGGGCATGTACCCTGGTTATAGGTTCTCCAGCCCCAGGTCAGGGCATGTGCAGGAGGCAGCCAATTGATATGTCTCTCTCACATCGATATTTTTTCTCTCTCTCTTCCCCCCTTTCAATCTCTAGAAATCAATGGAGAAGATGGCCTTGCATGAGGATTTAAAATGAATGAATGAATGAATGAGATAAGTGTCAATCTGGGCCTAGAATAGAGCCTTGCAGCTCAGTGATGGCGGCTGTTTTGTCACTCAGAGGCCCCTGAGAAATTCATCTTATTAGTGTTTAGGATGGTTCAGGTGAGGGAACACAGTGTCACCTGAGACCAGTTTATCAGGAATGGCTTCAGGGCCGCTGCCCTTCCCACCTCTCTGTGCCCACTCTCCACTCCTTGGTGGCAGTAACATGAGTGTGACTGTGCAGCGGGCATGATCGGACTTGTGTTTGAATGACTTTTTGTTCAGCATAATTCTCTCCAGGTCCATCCGTGCTGTTGCAGGTGGCGAGAGTTCTTTCTTTGTTACAGCTGTGTAGTATTCCATTGTGTAAATGTTTAAATTACTTTTTCACTATTAGGGTCAGGTACTCAGAAGAAAGTTCTCTTTTACCTTCGCTGTGTTTTTATACAACCACATGTTAAGGTGAATTCCATAGTGCCGTTTGTGAGGTGGTCCTGGTCTACACACCTGAGCCAGCGGGTGAACACATGTCTCTGGAGCAGGCCCTTCCCCCGCCACGGGCAAGGGGAGCCCTGGGTCTACAGGTCAGACACTGCCCGCCCCTGTGCGCAGTCTGTGCGTGCGTGTGCGCTTGGGTGCGGGGAGGTGGTCCCTTCCTCTCCCCCCTTGTCCCTGAGTCTCAAACAGCTTCAGCCATTTGCCAGAGTCTTAGAATTTACAGGTGTTGGGACTTAGATTTTACTTCAGTTCTGCCGCCCCCAGACTTGGGTTTCTTGCCTGCTGCCTCTCCGACCGAGGCCACAAGGATTTGTCCCACCTGCACATGCTGCCCATGCATCCACCGGGGCAGCATTTTATGTTTCTCCTGGAACTGCCTCTTCAACCCATTCTCTGTTCGGTGTGTACCTTGTCCCTTTTGTGGGCTGCTTTCCTTCTTATTTCCTGTGTTTCTTCTGAACACAGATCTGGCCTTTGATGGGGCCCCTGGCGATCAGCCTTTTTATAAAGAGGGAAGTGGGCACTGGGCAGTCAGCAGGAAGGGAACGTGAGTCTGCCCGCCCCGTTGGTCCACAGCCTGAGGATTAAACCGTTACCCAGAGCCTCTCCACGTGCTCGGGCCCCTCCTGCGGGGCTGTGTCTGCTCTGGGGGCCGGGCACCCCGCTGCCCCCTGTGGACAGTGAGCACGGCCGGGCACCCCGCCCCCCCCTGTGGACAGTGAGCACGGCCGGCCCCGCCCCCCCCTGTGGACAGTGAGCACGGCGGCCCCGCTCCCCCCCTGTGGACAGTGAGCTCGGCCGGGCACCCGCCCCCCTGTGGACAGTGAACACGGCCGGGCACCCCACTGCCCCCTGTGGACAGTGAGCTCGGCCGGCCCCGCTGCCCTGGGTGCCGCAGCGTCAGCGCCTCCTTCAGGGCCATGGCTTCCTGGCACAGATGCACCCCAGGAGGTTTGGTCCATTTGGCAGTGCCCAGCTTTGCCTGAGCAAAGGGTGCTTAATGTTCTGTTTAGTCTGTAAAAACCACTTCAGAATTCCAAAGCGAAAGCCATGGCTGTGCCTCATCCTTTCCAGAAGCCTGAGCCTGTAGGAGTTGAGGTTTGCTGAAGATGCTGACTGAGCGCCAGGGTTTGCTGTCGGGGCCTCGGGTACCGGGGTACTTTCGTGGTTAGTGGCCCCATGTTAACTGCGTGGCGCAGGCATGTGTGGACGTGTCTGCGATGCTCTCCTGTCCCCGAGCCCTGAGGAGCTGGCCTTGTGCCGACCGTTGAGGTTCTCTCAGGGTCCCCCCGGGGCTGAGAGGGGCTGATTATTGGGCCAGACTATCGTGAAGGACCTCAGAGGTTTGCCTTACAAACCAGGTCTTCTCAGGAAATCTCTCTTCTGGAATATTCCTTCTCCAATGCTAACCAGGCTGACGCTTCCTGGCCTTTAATCTGTTTGTTAGCATCAGCTACCACCCCAAGCAGAGGGAGCGAGGGGGTGCAGGTACGAGGACACGGCGCCGTCCGGGGCCGCTCTGTGCTGCGTCTGCAGCGATGGGCCCCGGGGGCTGTGCCCTCACAGGCGAGCGGCCGGGGACGCACAGGGCTGGTCCGAGGGGCGAGGGAATCCAGGCAAAGGAGAAAGGGCGGGCAGTGCCCACGGGGTCTCGGCAGCCTCGTTGGTTCCTTTTCGTGAAATATTTTCCAGAGATAGAAACCACAAATGTTGAATTCTGTTGAATTCAGCTTACAGGGTCCCAGGCCTAAATGACCGTCCCGTCACTTTTCTGGACAAAGAGGCTCTGTTCCCAGCAGACGCGTGTGCACGCCTGCCAACCCCCCCCCCCCCCCCCGGCCCCGCACTAACTGTCCGCTGTTTGCTCATGCCAGCCAAGACCCGGGCAGCGGACTTACTGGTGAACCCCCTGGACCCACGGAACGCCGATAAAATCAGAGTTAAAATTGCCGACCTGGGAAATGCTTGTTGGGTGGTAAGTGGAATTTTCTTGGTAAAACATTCTGGCCTTGGTCATGCAGAAGAAGCTGTTTTCCTTTTTAACGTGCCCTCCTGGTAATGCGGTGTGTTCCCTCTCAGCACAAACACTTCACAGAGGACATCCAGACGCGGCAGTACCGGTCCATAGAGGTGCTGATCGGCGCGGGGTACAGCACCCCCGCGGACATCTGGAGCACGGCGTGCATGGTAAGGGCGGCGGGCCGCTGCCTCCCGTTAGGCTCCTCTCCGGGGGCCCGTCACGGCCAAGGCCTCACCGTGCTGCCGTCCGCGCAAGGCTGTCCACGGGGGGCGGGGGAAGGCGAGTTGCTGCCCTAAGTGTCCTCAATTGGAAGAACTCTTCTCGGGCCTGTGCTGGGCTTGGTCTGGTCTTGGGAGAGAGGTGTGTCCTGGGCAGCCGCCCGGAGAATCAGACCCTCCGCTGCGGTGCCAGTGACGTAGCTGATTCCTCCGGCGGCTGAGAGCCTGCAGGCTGCCTGCGGCTTCATGCTTCACTCACACTGTGGCCCAGCGGGTGACTGTCTGCGTGTGGAGGCCCCTGGCAGGCCTTTCTGGAGAGGAAGGTCACCCCTCTACCATGTTTTGTCTCTTTTTTCCTATAAAGTCAGATCTAGAGAATGCCCTGGCTCCTTGCTCGGGGCTGTCCAGTGGCTTCGGGGACAGGCTCCTGGGACCGGGCCTCCGTGGAGGACACGGTGATGCTCTCCTCGGGCCTCAGGAGTCTCTTCTACCCCGGCCCGTCCTTTTCCACGGCCACTTTGGTGCGCCAGGAGTTGAGTGGTGTCTAGCTCTCCCCAGGCTCCTCCAGGCCCCCTTTCTCGTTCCTCGCACGTGAATTGATGAACGTGTGCCATCCATAAGCCGGTTTCGGTTCTGTTTTTTGGCCCTCTCCCCTGCCTGGTCAGCACCTTCCTCCTCATGGCTGTGCCGGAGTCCTGTGTTGGAAACGGAGTGTGTGTGTTGGTTAGAGTGGCAGTTCATGCTTTCCTTATTTCATCCCCCTCTCCCCCCCATTCTCCTCTGATGTTGAAATGCAAGGACATGTGTGCAAAGCTAGGCACTTGTCTCATTCAAAAAATGCTGAATAATTAAATTTACTGTTATTCAAAGGTGAATGTAACAGTTGAGTTTGTTGGATTATTTGTCCTTGATGCTCCGGCAAAAGCATTATTAACAGCACTAAAACGATATGGAAAAAAGTAGATGTTTCAGGTTAGCATGATCTGAGGCAACAGATTAGGCAAACAGAACTGAAACTTTGCCTTTCTGTTCCCACGTGGCTCTGATGGATAATTCCAAATAATTCTGAAAATTGAGTTTCTCAGTAAGTATCAAAAACAAAGCCTTGCTGTGACTGGGAATGGAAAAGAGTTTGTGGAAATCGGTGGTTCCTCTGAAGCTCTCGCCTGCTGGAGAGAGGAATGAGACGCTCTGTGTGGCTCTGTGTGGCTGGGGAGGGCGGGCGGGGGCGGGGAGGGCTGTGGGGGCTGGGACGGGAGAGGGAGGGCAGGCGGGGGTGGGGGGGAAGGGCGGGCGGGGGCGGGGGCAAGGCAGGTGGGGGCGGGGAGGGCTGTGGGGGCTGGGACGGGAGAGGGAGGGCAGGCGGGGGTGGGGGGGAAGGGCGGGCGGGGGCGGGGGCAAGGCAGGCGGGGGCGGGGAGGGCTGTGGGGGGCAGGACGGGAGAGGGAGGCTCTGAACTGTGGGAGCTGCGTGGGAAGATGTTTCAGGACGGGTGAGGTCAGGCCTCGCTTGTCCCAGCAGCACAGAAGGGGCCACGTCAGGGTTGCCCTGAATAGACAGAACTTTTTCAACTCTGATATCCTGTGTTTCTAATTTTGGATGTTAAACGTTGGTGACATAACCAGAAAACTAGGACAAGATCGCAGACATAGTTGAATAATGGAGGAGCAGGCAGTACGGGCCACGCCAGCGTATCTGTCTTCCCTCCATTGGAGAAGAATCGGTCTGTCCACTGCTGCAAACAGTGGCCTCGGCCTCAGCCACCGTCGCCTCCAGCAGCTCCCCCTGCCCCTCCTTTCCTTTCCAATAAATTAAAGCACACTCCCTCGGGGCGCTCGGGAGGGTTTAAAAATGTTTGCCAACAGGGTGATTTTCCTGGGAGGTGCAGTCTTCGTTCCCGCCCCCACCCCCTGTCCCCGAAGGTCGTGACTGACTGAGAGCTCCCTTTGTTCTAACTAGAGAACCTGGCAAAGATGAGGCAGCGTCTCCACATCCCTACCCTGTTATCAAAGTTTAAAAACATAACAGTGTATCACCTTCATAACTCCACGCCGTGCACAGCTCCAGAGGACCAGAAGCCCTGGGTCCGCTGGGTGTGAGGCGGCACCAGCCCTGCGGAGGCTGCCGCGGGGATGGCGGAGAGAGGCAGCCCGGGGCGTCAGGTGTGAGTGCCCGGGGCCTGTCGCGCGGTGCAGGTCGAGGTGTGGCCCCTCCGTCTGGTCAGAGCCCCTGCACAGGCTCAGACTCCGTGGCGAGTCTGAGTCTGTGCGGCTGGCACTCGCCTTGGAGGTCTTTCCTGGGAGGGCTCTGCGGTTCCCTCTGGGCTTGTACGGTGTTGAATTGCTTGTGCCCTAGTCTTCCCCAGGTAAGGCCATTCAGTGTGAAATCCAGTTGTTCCTCTTGGGACGTGAGGCCAAAGGGGAGGTTTTGTGCCCGGACCTGGGGTTGGTTGTTTACTGGCTGGAGAGGAGAGGCCCGGTCCTCAGGCTCCAGCCCTGGGGCAGCTCGGACTTCATTCAGCAGAGCAATAGTAGTTGCTGTCTTTATATATGTTATTACCACCTTATTAAACTCCTAGTCCTGAGGTTGTGTGTGTGTGTGTATGTGTATGTACGTGTGCATGCGTGCGTGCGAACCTGGTGGAAATGGGACAGGTGGCCTCCTCACACAGGTGTGCGAGGGACAGACGGTGGCCACCCGGGCAGCCAGCTCTCCTTGCCCTCCGCGGACGGCTGTATGGCGATTAGGTTCCTCCCGGCCCCCGGCACAGGGCCGAGGGGCTTCTGAGATGCTAGGCGTTCCCTTTGGTTGAGCCAGACATGAACGACGTGAGGCGGAGATGCTGAAAACAGCCCCCTTAGTCACTAGGACAGGAAGGTCTTTGCTTCAGCAGAGTGGCAGCACCCGGGGGCCAGGTTAGCCTGCTGGTTGAGGGCAGGCTCTGGAGACAGAGACCTCGGCCTGGATCAAGTCCTCCTCCTGCCACTAGAGACCCAGCGCGGGTCCTGGCCGCCCTCCGCACCGCGTGTGGATGCGAGGCCACGTCTGTCTGCGTCCGCTGAGTAAGGCCAGTGCGTAGCCCTCCGTCTTCCAGCAGAGGAGACGCAAGGGTACTTATGGGCTCCGCCGTTTCTGGAGGGAGAAAAATGGGGTGTTGAGCCCTTTTAGAGGCGTTTGGTCCGATTGAGATCCTTATAAAATGTAGGTCTCTTACACGGAGGAGAGCTTGGGGCCAGTCTCTCAAGTGCTTAGTCTGTCATCTGTTGTGTTCTAGGCATTTGAGCTGGCGACGGGAGATTATTTGTTTGAACCGCATTCTGGAGAGGACTATTCCAGAGACGAAGGTGAGTATTGCTGCCTGCCCATGCCTTAGTGTGGGGCTCCTGCCCGAGGGTCTTGAGGTTTTGGAGAGTATTATATCTTGTTCTGAAATAGAGCTATGTCTTGGTTTTTGAACACCAAGTTCAGATGATTTTTTTTTTTATTTTTATTTTTTTATTTATTTTTTTTTTTTAGCTTGAAGCCCTTCAGTGTTAGGGAATGGGCAGAGCCCCTGGAGAGCCCGCCCTCCTGCTGCCCACAGGCCCCGGCCTAGCGGCCGGGCGAGGACGGCTGTACACAGCCCGGGCCTCTGGGTTCCTTTTGCCCATTGATCCGCTCTTCGTTTTCCTCTCCTGTGTGGAGCTGAGCTGAAACCCAGGGGATTTGTCTCGAACCCCATCTGTGACCTGGCCATCTCTATGCTGAGTTGCTTGCGATGCGAGGTGGCCTGGGATGTGCTGATATCCATCACTGTTAATGCTCCCGATGGGGCCTGAGGCCCCTGGGTGTGCTGCAAACATTGTTGATTTGAATCTATTTCTGAGTTTTTACTAATTTCAGTTTTCTCCCTCTTTTACCCCCTCCTTCCCTGTGCCCGCCCATTCCCATACCCTTTTTTCTCTCCTTTGCAGACCACATAGCCCACATCATAGAGCTGCTGGGCGGTATCCCAAGGCACTTTGCTCTGTCTGGAAAATACTCGCGGGAATTCTTCAATCGCAGAGGTAGTACCTCTTCTTTCCAAAGCGCCACGATGCAGACAGAAACGGGATGGCAGCTCCTGGTTTCAGCCTTCATGGTGACACAGGCATTTCTCCTAAATTTATAACGCAGCCGGCAGGATTCGGTGCTGGTTTGAAAGCTGAGGGGGAAACTACACGTGGCCCAGTACTCGCCACCTGTGCGCCAGCTCCTCCGAGGGTCCTGGGCCGGGGCCGCCCAGCCGCACGGCGGAGCCAGAGCTTTGGTCCCCAGGTGCTCGGTTTCTGTCTGCGGCAGTGGCTGTGTCTGCATGCTGTGTGCTGATGAAACTGTCGTGTGTTTCTGTTTTGCTGGTAATGTTTCCCAATGCAGATCACATAGCATTGATCATTGAACTGCTGGGGGAAAATCCCTCGAAAATTCGCTATGTTGGGGATATACTCCAAGGAATTTTTCACCAGAAAAGGTAACGGTACTTATGCAACACTAATTTCAGCATAATCCTCTCCCAAGAGGAGAAATTATGCTTTTGCATTTGGGCATTGGACAAAAACCTGGACTTTCACAGCTGGGGCATTCTGCTGAAGAAAGCTCCCAAGAAATTAACATGAGTGAGCCATCTGATCCTGTGGAGTAAGAATTTTGTAAGAGACAGCCTTCCTAAAATCTTTTGCCTCCTGCACACCTCTTCTCCTGCTCTGAGTACCAATCTGTGTACTAAAGTATTTATAAGAGGAGTTAGAAACCAGCTAAGCATACCTTTACGTTTTTGTGCTGGGCGTGGAGCTGGAGTGTCCCTGCGCTGGACAGCAGCAGCCCAGATCCTTGGCTTAGTGACCCCCACTGCTGTCCTCCGACCTGTCTGAGGTGTCTGTGCAGTGGGTACAGGCCTGTGACATCCATTGAGCTCAATTTCTGCAAATCCGCTCCTGTTCTCTCCCATTGCAGGACCTCACATTATATTATAAGTGACTTTACTTTTAATATTATTGTTCTTATTGATCCTTCCTTGGCATGGCCGTGAACAGCTGTTTCTTTGCCCGGTATAGTCAGTCCCCTTATTAGTGATCTATTTAAAAAAAACCCAGGGTATTATTTTTAAAGAGCCCCTCCCCAGTGCTATAGTCTTTTGTGTGACTATAGTTAGTCCTCTTAATTCATGATTTTTCAGATTAATTTTTTTATTGTTGTTAGAACCTTTAAAATTGGTATGACCAGAACATGGAGTTACAGAAATTCCTGAAAATCCCAGATACTCTCTGTCCCCTGCCCTAACCTGACTTGTTGTACCAATTTGACATTTTATTTTCCTATGAGATAAAGGGATTCGTTTGAGTAGTTACCCCTATTTTTTGTTGTTAATTCTCACCCAAGGATATTTTCCCATTGTGTTTTAGAGAGAGAGTGGAAGGGAAGGGAGATACAGAGAAAGAAACATTGATGTGAGAGAGGCACGGTTGCCTCCCACAAGTGCCCTGATCAGGGCTGGGGATCAGGGATCGAGCCTGCAACCAAGGTACATGTCCTTGAGTGGAATTGAATCTGGGACCCTTCAGTTCGCAGGCTGACGCTCTATCCGCTGAGCCAAACTGGCCAGGCTAGAGTAGTTACCCTTTATTATACACTTGGGTGATGTTCAGCTCACCATCCTGTTTTGTCCTGTAGGTTTTATTTCCCTGTTAAATAATCAGGAAAGCTGAGAACTGACCGTGGGAAGATGTTCACCTGCTCCACTTCCTGGAGCACATTAACCACAGCCGAGCTTTTCTGGGACCACCCAGTGGGCAACCTGTGATATGTGAAACTGGATGCTGTTATTTTTTTCCTTCCTTTTTAAGGCTTACCACAGGAACAAGAATTGTCAGGGAAAATGGTTTATCAGACATCCGGTATTCATTTTGGTTCTGAGACTCTGGTCTTCAAGTCTGGGCCACAGGAGCCAGAGAGAAAGTTCCCCTTCCCACCCGCAGGCTCCCACCCAGGCCTCTGAGCAGCCTGAGGCCACCTGTGTCAGCTCTGCCGCAGGCTGTGTCCTGGCGGACCAGCCCAGCAGTGCTGTGGGCCTGACCCTCTCACCGTGTGGGCTGCCTTCAGAGGGCAGGCTGAGGAGCGCTGCCTGGTCTGCCCTTCCCTGCCTGTGCACAGACAGCTGGAGAGTTCTCCCTTGTCAGCGTATGCTTTAGGGCTTGCATATACAGTTCTTTCTGAGGTGCCTGTTTAAAGGTGACCTGCAGAGTTGAAATGCATTTAGCGTTCTTGGTGTAAAAACTCATGCTTGCCCCAGGATTTGTCTTCATAGTGCCCATATGTGGTGTAAAACTCGTAATTCTGGAATATTATAATTTTATGGACAGAATAATATATTCCCCTTCACAAATCACTTAATATTTAAGAGACGTAATGGAAGTACTTTGCTTTTTTTCCCCTGAAAAGTAAGCTGGTAATCTGGGACTGGCAGTTAGAGTCCCAGTCCCAAAGCCTGCGCTCCGGAGGAGCCCTCCCTCGTCAGCGTGACTGGCCTGGTTGATGAGGCAGCCGGGGGCAGGGCGCTCATCTAGTAAGTAGCCTCGCTGGTCTCCTGTTTGCACACATATGTGTGAGAGCTTCTGATGATAGGAAGGGAGAAAGGCTTACAAAATGAAGACTATCACCATGAAGTGTCATGAAGTGCCTACCGGCAAAATTTGTTTCAGCAAAATGTATCTCGGTATATTTTCCTAAGGCAAAGCAAAAAAATGCTGTAACTTATGTGGGAGCCACTTACATCTTATTTTATTTTTACAGTAAGTGGTGGCGATGCAGGTGCTGTTTCTTGTGTGTTGTTTGCAGGGCTGGAGGGAAAGGGAGGCCTGACTCCTCCGATGAGCCTGTACTCATCATTTCTGCCACGGGTAGAACTCCACGTTTGGGAGCTGAGGGTTTGTTTTAACCTTTGTCAGCTAATTATATGACGGCATTTCTTATCATTGAGTTAAATGTAAGAATGTGTCATGTAATCATAGGGCATGGGCGAGTTTATTTCATATTTTTGTTATTATAGTTTTTTGCATCATGTATTTTTTCCCACCTATCCACATAATCCACATATTTTTAGAGGCAATTCTGTATTCTGTCTTCAGTGCCTACTGGTGTTTAGGACTATTCTGAATATTTTCCTATTATAGGCAGCATATTTGCACATACAGTTTTTTATGTGCGATTTACCTGGTCATGTTAGATATTTTAGGCTGTTTGGGAATATTATTTTATTAGTTTGTGATAACTAGTTAGGTCTGAATAGCTTTCACAGCCTTTAAGCACTGAATTGTTTGCATCACTGTTACGCAGACTTTAAGTCATCTTTGGGATAATCCATATTTTCACTAAAGAGTGTATTTACTTTCATGCCTCTTGATGGGTTTTTGTTCCTGTAAAAACTGGGATCCTGGGACTACATGTCTCGGTTGTTCCAGGCAGACACTGCCTCTGGGTAGTTTCATTCATTCCCAAACCTGGAAAGTGTTTCTTCTAAGGCAGAATAGATGAGTGTAAATGGAGTCTGTCTCCCCCGCCCCCCCGCCCCCCCCGCCCCCCTCAGTTACCAGAGAGCTTGTCTTAGCCTGTTATGTGTGAGCTTTCTCCCCTTGCTTGGATAAGATCAGCATTCACTATAAAATCAATAGAGCTGCATTATGTAAAATACAAGAAAAAAAATCTTATTACAGTGCTGTGTGTGTGTGAGGGGCACCTGTTTTATATCTTTTTTTTTTTTTAATATATTAAAAAAAATAATACTGGGGATGTGCCTGCAACCAGGTTACATGCCCTTAACCGGAATCGAATCTGCGACCTTTCAGTTCACAGGCTGACGCTCTATCCACTGAGCCAAACTGGTTTCGGCGTGTTTTATATCTTTATGGGCATTTTGAAGATCACTTTTGTGATCAACATGTAAAACATAGTTTTCACATTCATTCTTTTACTACCAACATTTTACCGTATAATTCCATGTTATTAAGTAGTATTAAATAATATTCATCAAGTAGGTATACCACAGTTATTGTCTTTAAACACTATTCTCCTATTACTGACGATTTGAAATATTGCAAGTATATATACTTTTGCAGTTTGCATATTTGGGAGGTGTGTGTGCCAGGGTTTATTTTCTTAGGCTGGTCCCTAAAACTGAAATTTTGGTTTGAAGGAGATGAACATTCTTGATTGCTCAGACTTTGTCTGAGGGTGGCAGGTCCACTTCCCCATATCAACAGACCTGCCCTGCAGATTGGAAGCTTTTCTCCGTCCCCAGTCCTCACGAAAGAGCCAGAAGCTGTAAAAACAGGTTTTTAAAATATATATTTTTTTATTGAATTGAAGGAGGAAGGGGGGGGGGGGGAGGGAAACATCAGTGATGAGAGCAAATCATTGATTGGCTACCTCCTGCATGTGCCCCGACAGGGAATCAAACTGTGACCTCCTGGTTCATAGGTCGACACTCAGCCACTGAGCCATGCCGGCTGTGCTAAATGTTTTTATTCAGAATTCTGTGCACATCATGATTACAACTCTGTAGATATAGCAGCTCATAACAGTGTACATAGAAAGAGTATAGACTCGAAGAAAAGATCCCTGTGGTGGGATTACAGTCACTTCTGTGTTTATAATTTTTAAAAATATATTTATTGATTTTTTTTTTTTTTAATAGAGCGGAAAGGAGAGTTATAGAGAGTTAGAAACATTGAGACAGAAACAACAATCAGCTGCCTCCTGCACACCCCCTACTGGGGATGTGCCCACAACCAAGGTGTACATGCCCTTAACCGGAATCGAACAGTCCGCAGGCTGATGCTCCATCCTCTGAGCCAAACCAGTTAGGCCTGTGTTTATAATTTTTTGAGATGTTCTTTTATTTTCTTGATGGTTAAAGAAAGAGAAAGAGCATATCTAAATTGAGTTGAATAAGTGGGTGAAACAGAAAGCCTTCTAAGCACAAAACTGGATGTCTGTTAATGCATATCATGATAAAATTCACCACGTTGGTTAAACAGTGAAAGGGGAGAAATTGGCCCTGGCATGAGGTGTGCCCATAGGGTGCCCGCAGGACTCTGGCTTTCGGTGGGCCCGAGAGGGTGTGGGGTGGAGTGCAGCTGGTCTGGGTACTCGGACGGGCGCCCGTGGAGGCCTCTCTATGGGCAGGGGTGGCTGTGTATGAAGATTTCTAACAGGTAGAGAAAACGAGTTAATCGTAATGAAAGTTTTCCTAGGGTAGTTTGGCTTAAAGATCACTTTTTCTCCTATCAGGAAAAGTGTTTACAGTGACTGCCCATTTACTAGCTTATTCGTCATTCTGTTATGTCCACCGGGGCTGCCTGGGTTTATACCGCAGCCAGCACAGTTTGAAAAGAATAACTTCAAGGTCTGTAAATGGATGCCCTGATGTCTTAGATTTTACGAGTGTGTAGAAAGGAACGGTATTTGATACAGGTTGTCATCTAGAGCTGTGCTGCCTGGTAGACTAGCCACAAGCTACTTACCTTTAAACACATTAAAGCTGGAATGCCTTAGCCACACCGACCACCTTTCAAGTGCTCGGAAGCCACAGCCAGCCTGCGCTGTCCCCTGGAGTGCAGATGGAGTGCACCGCTCCCATCGGATAGCTGTTCTAAAGGGAAGGATGCGAAATAGCGGCCCATGGAGTTTAAATAGTATGACCTTACCGCTCTTCTAAGCAAAGTTGCAAAAAATACCAAATGGGCATGGGGGTGCCTCCGTCAGTTTTGCAAATGGAAACCTCTTGGGCGCGCTCGCCAGGCCCTCCTCATTTAAAGAAACCTAAGAGTCCACGTGAGCGAACTGGTCACTGTTAATGCCCGTTTACATTGGCCAGGCTTACGTGTAGATGACACGCTCAGGTACATGTAGCGATAATTCTTGAGGAGAAAAGCTGGCCTCTTCGTTGTTGCGTAGCGTTAAGCAGGTAGGTGTCTGCTTCATAGAAAGAACCCGCCTAGACCAACGGTAGGAAATGCACACTGGGAGCTCTCCTGACATGTCCGGTCTCCCCTGCAGGAGAACTGCGGCACATCACCAAGCTGAAGCCCTGGAGCCTCTTCGATGTCCTGGTGGAAAAGTATGGGTGGCCCCATGAAGATGCTGCACAGTTTACAGATTTCCTGATTCCGATGTTAGAAATGGTTCCAGAAAAACGAGCCTCAGCTGGCGAATGCCTTCGGCATCCTTGGCTGAATTCTTAGCAGATTCTACAAATATAGCATTCTGAGCTAGCCAATGTTTTCCAGTACATTGGACCTAAACGGTGACTCTCATTCTTTTAACAGGATTACAAGTGAGCTGGCTTCATCTTCAGACCTTTATTTTGCTTTGAGGTACTGTTGTTTGACATTTTGCTTTTGTGCACTGTGATCCTGAGGAAGGGTAGTCTTTTATCTTCAGCTTAGTAGCTTACTGACCCACTTTCTTCTGGAAACAATACCACGTCTCTAAGCATTCTTTTTTCTGTGACATTCAAATGTCAGTTTGTTTTTTTTGAAAGAAAAATACTTTTCCCCCTTGTGTTTTGGCAGGTTTTGTAACTATTTATGAAGAAATATTTTAGCTGAATACTATATAATTTACAATCTTAAGAAATTATCAAGTTGGAACCAAGAAATAGCAAGGAAATGTACAATTTTATCTTCTGGCAAAGGGACTCATTCCTGTATTATAGTGTATGTAAATGCACCCTGTAAATGTTAATTTCCATTAAACATAGGATGGGAACTCCAGTTTCAGAAAAGTTACCAGGTCTTGAGTGCTTTGTAGCCTAAGTTGCATGCAGTGGACTTAGCTCCAGGGAGTTGTACAAACTGTCATTCCATAACAGTCCTTTTTCTGTGGATTTTAAACAGAGTAGCTCTGGGTTATGTCGTTCCCTATATGGCACCTAAAGAGAGAAAAAACATACTTCCCATTCTAAAGTACGTTTTATAGTTTAGCATTCCTTTTTCTATTTTTGCATATTTTAAAAATACTTTTAAGAAAAAAGCAATTTCCCTTTTAAAATGTGATGCCCTGGTACCATGTGGTGTTGCCTCCTCCAAACACTGTAAGTGAAAGTCTACGTAGATTAAACTGGACAGAGAAACATGTTCAGTGTGTGAAATGAAAAATATATATTTTTGGAAAACCTTGCTCGTGTGTGTCTAGAACCAAGGTATGGCATATGCAATTTACAGTGTAATGGGCAGAATACGAACAACTCAGAGGTAACAGTGATCACATTCATTCTGTAGGCATTTTTTATGTGTGACTACAAGTTTTACTAGTTTTATTGAAATTTTTGTGCATTGAAGTTGAGAAAATGATTTTCCCTTTGCAGGTTGCACACAGTTTTGTTTATAATTTCCTTAAAATTATAGAATCCAGGACACAAACCATAGTAGGCAATACAATTTTAGGATGTAATATATGAGGTCTATTTAGCCTCTTTTAGAAGTCAGTGGATTGAATGCCAGTTTTTTCTTTTTTTAATTTTACATTTAAGGTGCCTCCTTTTTCTTGACTTTGTCTATTAACATTTATCCATATGCCTTTGCAATAACTAGATTGTGAAAAGAGAACAAGTGTTGTAACAATAATCCATTGTTTGAGGTGCTTGCAGTTGTTTTAAAAATTAAAGTGTTTTTGGTTTTTTCCCCCCTAGACAACGCCTTGGTCATTGGCCTATATTTGAATCCGTAGAATGAACAAACATTTGCTATCCTTTTAGTGTAGTGTACCCAAAACTAAAGTAAATATCAGCATTCCTATTGTAGGAAATGTAGTTCTATAACATGAATTAAGGTTTTATACAAGGAAGTAATTCATTGTTTTGTAAGGGTACAGGATATGGATTTAGAGAAGATGCTGCAGTAAGGATTTAATACCTAGGGTCTCAATGATCCCTTTTCATTTATGTTTAATGAAAAACATTACTTATACTTTGAGTATTAAAAATTCTTTTTTTCAACAGTGTTCACTGTGAGGGAACAATACATATAATCCTCTTTGGAGTGAGCATTAGATCAGCTATTACTGTGAGGTGGAACATCCTGTTCATTTATGAAATGTGCTTGTATGTTTTTCTAATGAGGCTATATGTTATCAGACAGGTTCTATGACAGACGGTGGCTATAGACCAGCGATGCTATCCAACATTTCCATAGGAACCATATTTTTTTCAGGGCTGTAGCACACTTGAATGAAATTTATCTAATGCAATTTTGGCTGTTAGAAAATTTAAGTAGTTTATGAATTTTGGAAGGATCTGTTCCTCATGATAAAATAGTCCACCTAGTTTACAATGTAAAAAACAATTATTCTTGCCCTGGCTTGGTGGCTCAGTTGGTTGGAGCATTGTCCTGTACACCAAAAGGTTGCAGGTTTGATTCCTCCTAGTCAGGGCACATAAGTAGGTGGGGGTGTGACCCTCAGTCAGGAAGTAATAGATGGATATGTCTCTCTCTCCCTGCCTTCCCCTCTCTCTGAAATCAGTGGAAACACATCTTCAAGTTAAGATTTTTTTAAAATGAAACAATTGCTCTATAAAGAATATACGTTTGAATTAGGTATAGCGTGATTTTAGCAGATTCTTAGTGACTTAATGATACTGCATATAAAGCTAACGAACTGCCGGTAACACAAAACACTATAGCCAGTGATTTTAGTCGAATGTTCTATCTTTTCCTCTAGTCCATGTAAAGTCTTCACGGAAAAATGACAAGCAGTGGATTATAACAGATTCAGAAGCTGGCTGTCTGGAAATTAGAACTTCCCAAAGGCAGAGAAAAGGTCAATATAAGAGCTTCAAAAAAAGCATACATTTTTAAAGGTGAAAACTGATTTACTAATTTGCTTCTTCCTGTTCCTGGATCATCTGTATCTAGTTAACATAACTACTGTGGTAGAGAGCTTTAGTTTTTATCTACAATTGAAATTAATTCCTAAATTCCACCTTTTTCTTCCATTTTTTTAACTTTAATGAAATTTTGGTAAATTATTTTGAGAGTGTATGCGTCCTTCATTATCAAATCAAATAACTATATAAGATTCTGCGGTTAACAGAAAAGGTTCTATATACATTATTAGGCAATCCATGAGGAATTAAAAATCATTTAAAGAGATTAATCAACAGGACATTTTAGACTTGTTTTAAAATGTACAAGTTAGATGTTCCTGTGTGTTCAGGCAAATACACAATATTGTGAAACAGTTGTAAATTATAGTGTACTAGAGGCCTGGTGCATGACATTCACGCACTGGGGAAGCAGTGCTCCCTCAGTGGGAGCACACTGACCACCAGGGAACAGCTCTTGCATTGAGTGTCTGCCCCCTGGTGGTCAGTGAGTGTCATAGCGACCGGTCATTCCAACAATTGGTTGATTTGCATATTAGCCTTTTATTATATAGAATAACAGTATCTGTGCAATGGTATTCGTGCATTGGGGAAGTGTTAACTGCAGAATCTTATATAGTTATTTGATAATGAGAGCGCGTGTCCCCTCATGTCCCAGACTATGAGGGCGTGTGTCCCTTAGTCCCGGGCCTGCACCCTCATAGTCTGGGGGCAGGGGAGCCTGCCTAAGCCGTTAATTGGATATCCTTAGCGCTGCCATGGAGGCGGGTAGAGGTGCTTGCCAGCCGTGAGCCCGGCTTCTGGCTGAGCAGTGCTCCCTCAGTGGGAGCACACTGACCCCCAGGGGACAGCTCTTGCATTGAGTGTCTGCCCCCTGGTGGTCAGTGAGTGTCATAGTGAGTGGTCATTCCGACGTTTGGTTGATTTGCATATTAGCCTTTTATTATGTAGGATAATAGTATCTGTGCAATGGTATGGGTTCAGTCTGTGTGAGGTCAGATATAGTGTACAGAGCATTTACATAACCTAGTTTCCTGTCCCTCCTGCTCCTTAACACTGACCAGCAGAAGCATTACAGGAACCCTCACTGCTTCTTGACGCTTGCTGCAGTCCACTTGAGGTAGTAGTTGCTAAAGAAAATGGAAGGCTCCTTATTAACTATATAAAAATAAGTAAAACTTTTGTAAAACACTTGCTTAAACAGACCCAATCTCAGAAGTTGTACAGGACAATTTGATAAAACTGACATAATTGTGATTTATTAACATGAATTAAAATGCCCAACCAGTGCTTCAATGTGACAGTATATTTAAAATAAAAAAGAAATTAAAGGCCATATACTGTACTACTTTCACAAAGATCACACAGTTTTGCAAAGACTTGTAATATGTACAATGCTATATATCAAATGAGAAAAGCTGTAAGCAATATATATGCAAAAGAATTATAGTATTTACAGTTTGTCAGGAGACATTAAAAATCATCTATACATTAAATTACATTTTGTTTGCAAATAACCAATAAAACAAAATGAGCCATGTCCACATCAAACTATAAAAATCTGTATTGCATTTTTATATCTAAGATGCACTCACAGAACTGCTGATGGAAAAAAAAGAAAATCCTCATAGTGCCATTGCTTAGCTCTGTATTTAATGCCTATGTATAAAATAATATAGAAAACATTCACTAAATGAATTTAACTGCAACAATAAAATTTAAAGATTATGTAGCATTAACTCTGCCAGAAAAAACAGCTGGAATGTTCCACTTACAAAACAAAGGTAACTAATACTGGCTTAATAGCACATTTTTAAAGGAATTTTTGAAAAGCAAAAATGGGAACGATACAATGAAAGAGCACTGGTGTTTTTTTTGTTTGTTTTTTAATACAAAGTTTCATGTACAAGCTTTAAAAAGTACCTTAATAGGTACATATGAAATATACAGTTTATCTTACAGAACATTTTAAAAAAATGTTTTGGGAGTCCATTTTAATGCCACCCTGAACCATGGTAACTGTTCTGAAATGTTGGTGGCACCTGTGCTCTGTGAATTGGAATTTGTCCAGGCACTGGAGATGCCTGCTGAGGTCCTTGAACCCCGTGTGGCAGAGCCACAGAGCCAGGATGAGGACAGAACCCTGAAGCAGGTGTTGGAATACTGTTTGGTCCTTGGGGCTGGAGATGAGGACCTGCGACTGGTAATGGACAATGTGGCCCTGTTCCAGAAGGCTGGTGTTGGGCTCCCGGTCCCAGAGCGGTGTGATGTGTAGCTTGTGAGGGATATGGTGGTACAGCTGGATGAGCACTTGTAGGAAAAAGTGGAGGTCCTTGATGAGGTGGATGGTGTAAGGCTTGA